CAGTCTTTTATAACCACACAGAATTTATTGAAGATCAATCCCATGGAGGCAGTCACTTTAAGTTGGGGTAACCTCTCTCTTCATTGAGGATCAATCCCATGGAGGCAGTCACTTTAAGATAAAAGTATGGCAGCATGCTTTCCATGTCACATTGGGCTTTTTAAAACTATATCCCTTCACCCTGGTTTGTTTGTTTGTTTTTAATATCTATAGGAAGAGTGCTTGGAAACATCATTTTGTATTTCAGCCATTAGTAGGAAAGCTGGTACCCTCTGGTGGACAATTTGAGTTTCTTATCCCTGTGTTTGCTTTCTGAACTGGAACTGGAAAAACCCTTCCTCAGAAGGGCTAAAACAACGGGAAATTGTTTTGCTATTTTCTGCAATCTGTCTTAACTAGTGATGTTGTCAAAGCTCACAATTTCATAGCTTAATTCTGCCAAGCTTATAAAATGCTTGTTAATTGTGTGGCAAAGGCAGCAGATAATTAAAAGAGGCAGTTAAGAGATAAGAGGAGACACCTCAGAGATGTAGAATGCCTAGTGTTCAACAGGCTCTCAATCTTCCCACAATGCTTTTGGACCACCATGATGTGTTCTCTGAGGGAAACTGGAACAGAATATATAGGGGGAGAAAGCGCGACCGACCGAATGATGCCTAACATGTTTTTTGCTCTCCTGTCTGCTTTGGCCCGTTCTTACTAGCTCTTTGCCAGAGGAGAAAAGCAAGACCAGCTCCTCTTTTGACGCCTGTCCTAAGCCGAGTGAAAAGCAGGATGCAGAACAAGCCGAGATAGACCCTGAACACAAGCGCAGCCGTGCCCGGGAGCGCAGGCGAGAGGGCCGTTCCAAAACTTTTGACTGGGCAGAGTTCCGTCCCATACAGCAGGCGCTGGCGCAGGAGCGAGCAAATGCTGCAGAGACTTCCAAGGACGGCGCCGCTCCCTTCCCGAAAGAACCTGGGACATCCGAGGCTGACTCTGGGGAACTTGAGAGAGAGCGGGCCCGACGGAGGGAGGAGAGGCGTAAGCGCTTTGAGAGTCTGGACGCTACCGATGTAGGAGGCCCAGAAGACTTTTCCAGAATGGAAGTGGACAGGCTTCCAGGGCTGCCTGTCACGTCAGAAGCGAAGTCTCAGAATGTTCACGTGGAGATAGAGCAAAGGTGGCACCAGGTAGAGACAACCCCTCTGCGTGAGGAGAAGCAAGTCCCTATTGCCCCTCTGCACCTTGCACACCCCGACGACAGCAGCGAAACACTCCACAAGAAGCACCTCACCACACTCCTGGAAAAGGAGGTAAAGTGGGGGAGGGAGACATGCGCTTGGTGAGCTACCGCAGGCAGGCCTGTTACGGAAGGGCAATTTTAGAGGCATAACCTTAGCCACAGATGAAGCAGAAGGAGACTCTACTTTGGAAAGGAGCTGCCATTCCCCTTGTGCATTTTTACCCCTTCTCACACTGTCCGGATTCAGATTGGAAGCCCCATAAGGGCAGGGACATGTTAAATTGCAGTGCAGTCTTAATGGAAGGATGATTATCATTCATCATCAGTTAACCCAAAATAGGTAGGTAGGTAGATTTATATGCCACCTTTTTCTCCATAGAAGACCCTACTGTATATTTCTCAGTCTTAAGAGGCTTCTGAAAATCACTTTTTTAGGACACTGTACAAAACACATTGACTGATACCAACACAGCTGTTGCATGAATTGGCGTAGTTTTTATGCATTTACATCCCTTGCAAACTTCAGCAGTTTAGCCTTGATACTAACAAAATCAGAATTGTGCTTGCTTTGTTGCCCTCTCCTGATACTCTTGTAGCATCTGGAATGAATAATCTTATTTGGGGGGCTAAGTGAAAGTGCAGGTCAGTAGTAATTGTGCTTCGTTATATCTGTCATACAAAAGTGGGTGCCCCATGCTTTTGGCAAGAAACATGAACTCCAACCTATCATGTTTTGCTTCCTGCATAACTGAAATTTCGTTAGTAAAGCCACCTGATGCTACTATGGAACGATTAGGAGCATTTCATGTTAGAAATAAAGGGCACATGGTAGGGAACAACATTCCCTCCCAGCCACACAGGCATGCACAGCTGAGCCAGTGTTTTTGCCTATTTGCTTCCCGCTGCAGCCAGAACTAGAGAGAATATTGGTAGGGAAGAATTGTGGCTAAACTGCAGGAGTCTTTCTATATGGTGCAGAATCAGTTGAGGTCCATGTGTATAATGAATATGACTTTC